GTGACAGAGGCAATGACATTGGCACAGGATAGAGCATGGTTTAGGGCTGTTGTACATAGGGTCGCTACGAGTCGCAAATGACTCGACGGCAGAAACCAACAACAACAACAACAACAACAACAACAACAGTGCCTCTGTGTATTCCTTCTATCTTCTTTTGATGCTTCTTGCATCACTCAAGATTTTGCCCATTGAGATTATTAAATACTAGCTGTAACAGTAGTATAATGACAGGGAACTGCCAGAAATTCAAGATAGATTCAGAAAAGACTGTGAAATGAAAAATATCATTGTGATGTTAGATGGTACTTGGCTGAAAGCAAAGAATACCATAAAAAGATTTATTTGTGCTATGTTGACTATTCACAGGAACTTGACCATGTGAATCAAAGCACTTACGGATAACATTGAGAAAAAAGGGAATACCAGAACACTTAATTGTGCTCATGTGAAATCTATACCTAGACCCAAAAGTTGTTTTCTAAATAGAAAAAGACAACACTATACAGTTTAAGATCAGGAAAGGTGTATGTTAGGGCTGTATCTTTTCTGTACACTAATTCAATCTGTATACTGAATATATCATTCAGGAAACTGGATTATGTGACAAACAATAAGGCATTAAAATTGAGGGAAGACTCAGTAACAACCTATGTTATGAAGATGATACAACCTCACTTGCTGAAAGTGAAGAGGACTTGAAGCAATTGCTATAGAAGATTAAAGACTTCAATATGGGTTATATCTTAACATCAAGAAAACAAAAATCTTCGCTACATACCAATAGTCAATACCATGAGAGACAGAGAAAAGATTGAAGTTGTCAACACCTTCATTTTACTTGGATTCACAATCAACATTCAGGATAGTAACAATCAAGAAATCAAAAGATGTGTTGCATTGAGAAAATCTCTGTCAAGGGTCTCACCAAAGTTCTAAAGAGCAAGGATGTCAGTGCAAATACTAAGGTGTGCCTAATCCAAACCATAGTATTTCCAATTTTTCCTATGTGTCTGAAAGTTGGACAATTAATAGGGACAACAGGAGAAAAATTCATGTCATTGACTTGTAGTATTGCCCACAGAAATCTAAAAGAACAAACAAGTCTGTCTTGGAAGAAGTGGAACTAGTGTGCTCCTTAGATGCAAAGATGGTCAAACTTCATCTCACGTACTTTTGGCATAATTTCAGGAAGGTCTAGTACTTGGAAAAGGATATCACACTGGGAAAGGTGGAGGGAAAGAGAAAGAGAGGAAGACCTCTAGCAAAATGGACTGATAGTGTGATGGGGACAATGGGCTTGAGCATGGTGAGGATAGTGCAGAACAGGGCGAAGTTCAGATCTGTTGTTTGAAGGGATGTTATGAGTCGTAGGCAACTCAGTGACACCTAACAACACCATATGTGCAGCAGGTCCCTGGGGGCACAAACCATTTGAATTTGCCTGGTTGGAGGTCCTGATTCACCCACAGAGAGATGCCTAGTGGTCTGCTTCCATGAAGATTACAATCAAGAAACTGTGATGAGTGGTTCTAGTCGCTAACACATTTACTTGCTATGAATTGTAATTGATTTAGTGATGACAGGTTTAAATTCTCAGCACCTACACAGCTACTGATGTAGCTCTGGTAGCATAGCCAACTGGGTTTGTACAGTTAACCAAAATCAAATATCGAGAGTTTCTGAGGTTTGAAACTACCAGACCCTCAGTCAACTCTCATTGAGATTTACTGTCTCCAAAAGCCAATGGAGGGCACAGTGAGTTGGAACCAGCTTGAGAGCAGCATGTTTTTTATTTTGACAAAGATATTGGCACATAGTCAAACTCAATAGAAATCTAATGACTCACTGTTTGAGCTCTCAACTTTGGAGAACTATAATATCCTTTCCTTAAACTACATGATTCAAAATCAAGAAGGGGGTCCGTCATGGATGTATTTTGTCTCCATAACTTTTCAATCTGTATGCAGAACAGATCATCTGAGATGCTGGGCTGTATGAGGAGGAATGTGGCGTCAGGATTGGTGGAAGATTCATCAACAATCTGCGTTATGCAGATGACACAACCCTGCTCACTGAAACTGAGGGGAATTGCACTTGCTGTAGAAGGTCAAGGACTGCAGCCTTCAATATGGATTGAAGCTCAACATCAAGAAAAAAACGATTCTCACCACTGGACCAATTAGCAGCATCAGTATGGATGGTGAAGAGATTGAGATAGTTAACAGTTTTAGTTTACTTGGCTCCACAGTCAACACTCTTGGTACCAGCAGCCAGGATATCAGGAGATGAATTGCATTGGGAAATTTAGCTGTCAGGGACCTCTCAAAAGTATTGAAAAACAAGGATGCCAGGCAGGAGACTAAGGTGCACCTGATCTAGGCTATAGTCTTCTCAACTACATGCTATGCTTCAGAGAGTTGGACAGTGACTAGGGAGGATAGAAAGAGAATTGATGCCTTTCAGCTGTGGTGCTAAAGAGGAGTGTTGAATATACCATGGACTGTTAGGAGAACAAACAGGTTTGTCCTGGAGAGGGTGATGTCTGAATGCTCCTTGCAGTCAAGTATTCTGAAGCTTCATCTGACATACTTTGGGCATGTTGCAAGGAGGGACCGGTCCTTGGAGAGGGACATCATGTTTGGGAGAGTGGAGGGATGGCGCAGGAGAGGAAGACTCTCGATGAGATGGATTGATTCTGTGATTGGGGTGGTGGGAATGAGTGTGTTTGAGATGACACACAACAACAACAACAACAACAACAACAACAACAACAACAACAGGTCTAAAGTGAGAACCTAGGCAGCTCTGGAGGCTTAGTCCGTGGAGGTTGTGCTGCTAAACCAAAGGTTACATCTCTCTGGCGGTTCAAATCCACCAGGGGGTTCATGAGCTCACATGTGACTTAGAGCTTCAGAAATCCAATGAAGTGTTAGCTACTACTCAGTTTTGATTTGACAGCATTGGGAGGAAGAGAGAAAGAGATGAGGGCAGAGCAGAGAGAGAGAATGGGATGTAGGGTAGAAGAGATAGGGTGGGAGGAAGAAGTAAGGCCTGGAATTCTGCATTTCTAATTAGCAGTCAGACAATGCGGATGCTGCTGGTCCCAGACATATTAGTATGCTGGTCTCACACACTGAGTGGGGAGGGTGGAAAGGGCGGATGCTCTTTCCTGGGTACTTGCTATGTTCCAGACATAACACTTAGGAGGATTACGTACTGTGTCATAGACTTCTCACAATGATTTGTTAGGTAGATATGGTATCCTTATCTAGGCCTGCAAAGGGGAGTAAAATATGTTCAGGGAATTGTCTACAGTACCAAAGTGACAAAAACTAGAGATCACTTTAGAAAAGAGAAGAAGCCCCATGTGAATGGTAGGCATTATTATATTTTTAATAACTTTATCTATATTCAAGGTTGGTGATGATCAAAGATCACTTGGTGGTGTGTTTGTTTACACCAAGACTTCATTAATGAGTTTTTAACTCTGCATTTTAACGAGAGGTTATTTATCAAAATGTCTCTCCCCAGGAGAGAAATGTATATTGCTGAGGCAGAAAATCTAGTTAGGGGAGATCAGTCTTGTTGAAAAGATGTTCGGAATCGAGGTGCTAGTGTCTGAAATGCAAAACGCGTCAGCTAATGTAATATTTGATAATTCATGATGCCCATCTGCTGCCTCCCAGATGCCTGGGCTGTGGGGAGAGGGTAACGGGGAGAGCTGATGATAAACTCTTGAAGGGAAAGCTTCTATCCTGGTGTGCACACAGTAAAGCTGTTCATTAGCATCATCTCAGCTGGCAGTCAATCAACAGGGGGCTTTTCTCTTCTATTAAAAGGGCTTAGCAATGAAAATAGTCTGGAAGGATTAAAGACCATAAATAATAATATTTTAGAGTCAAGAAATAAAGGATATATCAATATCTCCAGTGAACAGCCCTGCTTGTGTGGTCACATGTCAATGACTGCAGCATTTGGATGAAATGGTAGCAAGCAAACAGTTATGTTCCTTGCAGAGAGCAGGGCTGTCGGTCAGGGACAGACTCTCAGGGACAGACTCTCAGAGCCCTGCTCAGAGGTTTTGATTAGTTTCTTCTTGTGTTTCTTCTCGGGAAACTTGCTTTGTTCCTGAATGCCCTGGATAATTCAATGTCCACTCTGAGCCCGTAGGTAAACAGGGCATTTGTTAAACCAGCAAGTGATGGCTAGGTGTTTCCATTAGCCGGTTGGCTCCCAGCCCAAAAGCTCTTTCCACCTGGCTCTATTGCTTCTGGGATTATAAAATAATGGCCAAGATAGAAGGGAATCAGAGCCTTTCCTGTCTCAGAAAAAGAACTACACTTATAATTTTCTTCCCCTGTATTAGTAGATACTGGTTTGTCGAAATGAACAGGGATGACCCGGACCAATTTATTGCTGCTTGCCTATAAGCATATTGCCTATGCAAGCTCAGAAAGATACTAACTGTATTTGTTTTCTGTTAATATGAAAAGAAACAACTTACTTCTTTGGAAGGAAAAATCCATGTAGAAGAGATTGAAGCTTGTAAATTTCTCTTGGGCTGCAATTTTTCTCAGCGTATTGGAGAGTTGTTCTGCTCTCTGAATTCAAGGGAAACAGAAGTCCATGAAAGCCAAGCTTCGGTCTGAGTAGGTAAGTCTGGCAGATCCATAAAGTCGAACCTTGCCATGCCCACCCCATCCTTCTCTAAGTCATTGTCAAGGAGCTCTGGTGGGATGACTGGAGCCCATCAGTGGCTCTTCTGGAGAAACTACCTAGAGATCTGCCCTTGCAAAGATTACAGTTTGGTAATCCCCATGGGAGCAGTCCTATTGGTCCTGTAGTTGTTATGTGAGTTGCTATCAATTCACAACAATCTCAAGTTATCAGCAAACAGGAGCTCTGCATGTAGAAAGACATTCATGGACAAATCTCAGGGGAAAGGTCACTCCTTCCCATGTGATTTAGAGCATCATAAACCCAGTGGAGGGTCAGCAATAAGTTGCTTCTGACTCAACGGCAATGAGCTTGAGTTTGGAGTTCATATACAAATGGCCAATGAACATATAGAAAATGTCAAAACTCATTAGAAGGCAAATGAAAGTGAATTACTACTCCAAAAGACCACTTTTCACTCATTAGACTGACAAAGAAAAGATGAATAACTGTGATAATCCAGTGTGGCACTGGGGTGGTGAATGAGAGCATGGATGGTTTTATCCTCTCTGGACAGCATTTGACAATATGAATTATTTCTTTAAAAACCAAGGAAATCATTTGACCCAGTAATTTTGCTCCTTGAAATCTATCTTAAGGAAATTGAGTTGTACACAAAGATATGTATTCAAGGAGGCTCATCACACTGCTATTTATCATAGTGAAAACTTGGGAACAATTTAAATGTCCCACACCAAGGGATGAAATAAATCATCATGTGTTCTCATACTGTCTACTGTTGAATGAGTTCAAAATGATCGTGTAGAGGAACAACTTAATAGGACGGAAGTCTTAAAATGGTCTGTGATACCATGAAGGCAAAGAGCAAAAATAATTATTTATGAAAGTCCTACTGGAAGGGGAGTTCTGGTGGCCTGGTGGTAAGAAGTTGTGCTGCAATCCCAAAGGATAACCAGGGGGCTGCTGTGTACTGAAATGAACTCCACAGCCATTGGCTTGGTTTTGGGTAATTAGAAAGATTATTTTTTTTAATTTATTTTATTATTTTGTGTGTGTGTGTACCGTCAAATCAGATCTGACTGGTACAGGAGGAGATTGTTCCTCCTTCTCCAGCAGAGCATCTGGTGGATTTGAACCGTGCACCTCTGGTGTTTCAGTACACCTTCTTGCCACTAGGCCACCAGAGCTCGCAGAAAGATTCTTCAATGAGTATTTGATACAGCGATCATTTACTACAGGTGAAGGAATACATTTTTGCTTGAATAATGTATTTTCTCAGAAAAGGGAGGGAGGGTTTGGAGCATCTGGTCTTCTCTTGCTCCTGGAAAACTGGCAGGGCTTCCTCTTCCTCAGTTCTCTTCAGTTTTGCAAATATGCCTGAGATAAACTAGAAAAGGGGTGTGTGTGCATGCGTGATATACACGTGTACAAATGAGGGAGACACACAGAGACACAGACAATGAGAGAGATAAGAGTGACTTGGGAAGAAAAAGGAAGAAGAGAGGGCACACCTTCTCCTGGTCCCTCACACATCCCAGCTTTACGCATTTTGTTTTTGTTCTTCACTAGCTCAGGGACGGTAGCCCTGCCAGCATCCCATCTCCAGAGTAAACATAGTCAGTGTAAGAGTGATCAAAGATGCTGTGACAGTCATACCTCTGAAGTGAGAGCTCTGAGCGTCTTGTTGGCAGACATCCAGCCATGGCAGGGGCTGACCTGAGAGCAGGAAATAACACTGATGAAAGAGGAACCGAGACAGCAAAAGGGGAGGTTAACCTTGGGGAGGAATCAGGGTGTGAGCCTACCTGGAGGCAGCTGAGGAAGGTGTAGTACTGTGCATAGGTCACATCTTTATTTAGCTGGCCTGGAAGACAGATAGATCAGGGATGTTATGCGCTCCCAGCTACAGGAACCCATTAGAGAGGGGAGTGAATGACCTGCTTCTCCCTCACTGTCAGGATGTGCCGCTGTTTATGCTGCATCCTCTTGATGGCTTTTAGGTGCTCAGCTTCCAGTCTGTGCACTTTCCTTCATATGGAGACCCCCAGAGAGAAAAGCTCATAGGCAGGGTGGGACCTAAGAGCTCACTCCCATTGAGCTCCTGGTGTGGTCCAGGGTTGGACCTGAGTGCATCTGGACTCCAGTGAAAAGGGACAGTGTGGACCAGACACAGAACAGAACAGAAAAGGAGTTTCTGGGTGGTGACTGCTAACCAAATGGTTGAAGGTTCAAGTCCACTCCCAAAAGACCTCAATGAACCCTGTGGAGCATTGGTCCACTCTGACACACATGGGCCTGAGATGGGTAGGAATTGACTCGATGACATGTTAAAAAAAATACGTAGTCTCAGGAGAGCTTATGTTGTTGTTGTTGTTATGTGTCGTTGAGTTGCTTGCGACTCATAGTGACCCTATGACCACAGCTCTAAACAATGCTCTGTCCTGTGCCAATCTCACTGTCTCCGACACACTCATCCCAATTGCCCCAGTCACCGAATCAATCCATCTCCCAGAGGGCCTTCCCCTCCTGTGCCTGCCCTCCACCCTCCCAAGCATGATGTCTTTCTCCAAGGACCGGTCTCTCCTTACAACATGACCAAAGTATGTCAGACGAAGTCTCAGAATCCTTGCCTCCAGGGAGCAGCCCGGTTTAACCCTCTCCAGGATGAATCTGTTTGTTCTCTTAGCAGTCCATGGCACACACAGCACTCTTCTCCAACATCAAAGCTCAAAAGCATCAATTTTCCTTCTGTCCTCCCTGGTCATTGTCCAGCTCTCTGACGCATAACAAGTGATTGCAAAGAACATGGCCTGTACCAGACGCACCTTAGTCTCCAGAGACACACCGTTGCTCTTGAGTACTTTAGAGAGGTCCCTAACAGCAGACTTTCCCATCACAATACGTCTTTTAATTTCCTGGCTGCTGGTGCCAAGAGTG